CCAGCCTCCTCGCTGGGGGTGGCGCTAATTGTTTCCGGGGCTGGTATGTTGGCTGGCACGGGGCACTGAGCCTGACGCAGCGGTGGCCCCCGCTCGCTGACGTGGAGATGACAGAAGTGCCGAGTGTAACGCGGAGACGGCGTGCAGATGAACCACAGGGGACCGGCGCACCCAGCCCACCCCTGTGAGAGCCCCACAGCCTCCGGAAGACCTCGGTGTGTGGGAGAAACCAAGGCCCTGGGAGGGCAGAGGCCCCGGCAGGTGTGGGTGGGGTTAATGGGCCACAAGGTTCCCGGGGCAAAATGGGTGAGTGACCCACAGGCTCTGGGCTTCTACAGACAGAAAGGTCTGGTAAACAGAGGTCTGGCTTGAGCCCCCAGAGGCAGACCCTGGTGCCTGCCCAGGCCCAGACCCCAGTGAGTCCACAGACCCAGAGTCCCCTAATGAGGAAAGGACCTGATGTGACCCCAGGGGCCATGGCCCTTACAGGAGACCCCTGTGCCCTGGGGAGGGGGGAGGGGCTTGGACCTCCCGAGTCCCTGCTTTCTCGTCTGTAACACGGGACAATGGCACCGCCTGAAAGGATTGCCGGGTTAATTGAGTAGAATAATGGGACGGTGCCTGGAATACAAATGCATGTGTTGGCTGCAGCTGAACTTTTAATCCCTCTGTGATTTCATGGTCATTCTTTCCATCTTCACTGCACTGTGATCAGCCATTTGCTGGGTGAGAGTTAAAAAATAACCCTACCGTGGACTGCGGGCACAGTACGCACCAGGCGCCATGCTCGGGCTTACGTCTCTAACCTATGCAACAGCTCTGCCAGGCTGTGCAGTGGGAGCTAGCAATGCTGGCATGAGGACCTCGTCATGCACTGTTGCTAAACCTGTGTTCTCTCTACTGGGGCACCAAGCTCCTTAGAAGGTAATAAAACGAGGTGGCAAGTACAGAGCTTGGGACATGGTGACAGTGATAAATAGAGAGGAGATGAAGGAGGGGGATAGGTGGGTGGGTAAATGGCTGGATGGGTGGATGGATGGATGGATGGATGGATGGATGGATGGATGGATGGACAGATGAATGAGTGGATAGATGAGTAGGCAGATGGATGGATGGGTGGATGGATGGATGGATGGATGGATGGATGGATGGATGGATGGATGGATGGATGGATGGATGGATGGATGGATGGATGGATGGATGGATGGATGGATGGATGGATGGATGGATGGATGGATGGATGGATGGATGGATGGATGGATGGATGGATGGATGGATGGATGGATGGATGGATGGATGGATGGATGGATGGATGGATGGATGGATGGATGGATGGATGGATGGATGGATGGATGGATGGATGGATGGATGGATGGATGGATGGATGGATGGATGGATGGATGGATGGATGGATGGATGGATGGATGGATGGATGGATGGATGGATGGATGGATGGATGGATGGATGGATGGATGGATGGATGGATGGATGAGTGGATGGATGAGTAGGCAGATGGGTGGATGGATCGATGGATGGATGAGTGGATGGATGGATGGAGGGATGGATGGATGGATGGGCAGATGGGTGGATGGATGGATGGATGGATGGATGAGTGGATGGATGAGTAGGCAGATGGGTGGATGGATGGATGGATAGATGGGTGGGTGGAAGGAGGGAGAGGTATAGACATGGAAGGAGATGATGGCTGGTAGACTTAGAAAATGGATTGAACATGACCCCACCCTTGAGGATCCCTCAGTCCAGGAAGCTGCAGTGCTAAGCAGGGAGCCAGCTGAGGAGCTGAAATAGCTCATCGGTGGTCAGTGACGCCCTCAGAGTGCAGTTTTCCAGCCACACCATAGTGCGTGCGACGATCAGCCAGGCAAGCTGTGACTTGGACCGACACACTTGATTGCTCCAATAACAGACCTTTATGTTCATTCATTCGACAAGCATTTACTGAGCACCTACTGTGTACCAGGCACTATGCTAGACTCTGGGGACAGTGTCATGAACAAAATAACTCCATGTGGAGCTCCCATGTGGAGACAAGGAAAGAACAGATGTGGGAGGAGCCGACGAGGATAAGTGCTGTGGAGATAAATAAAGCAGGTAACAAGGGGGTTCTGGAAGGACTGGACAGAGGGGGCCTGCCGGGTCTGACACTTGGTTGGAGGCCAGAAGTAAGGGCGGGGCCAGTCAGGCCTGGAAGTCAGGCCGGGATCTAGAAGGAGCAGTGACATTCCTAGGATCACAGAGTAACTGGGCAGCTGAATGGGGACTATAACCCACGTTATGTGCAGGTGTTGGGGTCCTGGGGCTCCTGGTCTGACCCTAAAACAGAGCGAAAACACACCAGCTATGGGGTCGGCAGAGGGGACCTTGTCGGGATCCGGCCAGCAAGGAGCTGCGTGACCTTCATCTCTCTAAGCCTGTGGCCATCACTTCACCGCTCATGTTCTTCTCCTTTCCTTAAACCAAGCTTGCGAGTATTAAGGATTCACAGATACGTTACTTCATACATGATAAACGCTCGCTATTTTGTTATTTATGGAGGCAAATGCTAAGCTTCCAAAGAGAGCTAAGGACTGCGCTGGCACAGGCCTGGACCCTCTCATTTCATCTCCTGGTGAAGCTGGCCCCTCCCCCTCCAGCCAGAGCCTGTCCTGGTGCCCGGGCCCAGGACACGGGGGGTTTGGTGGAAAGGGGAGCATCCCACACATGGGGTGGGGCAGGCAGGGTGAGGAGTTTCCAGGCAAACCCCTCTGACCCGCTCCACCCACCACCCCACAGGCCGACTCAGACTCCGCTTCCTCGAGCTCAGGAATCCCAGGATGAGCTTAAACCACGTGGTTATAAAAGCCCCAAGTAGAGGCAGACATGTGCCAGGGGCTCCAGGCGGTGAGTGAATGAAGGAATGAGTCGATCACTCAACCACTCCGCCCTGGGGAACCCCAGTGTTATTCACGCCAACCTCAGCCACGTTGTTGCCAGCTCCACTTCCACACTCCCAGGGCCAGGGAGCTCACGACCTCCAGCAGCAAACGGTTTCAGTATTAGACAGTCCTGTGAGCCGTTCCCCACCTCCTGGCTCCCCCTCAGCCCCCGTCGGCCTGCAGATGGGACCCAGAGCACGTTTGAAATCTGTTTCATGGGATGTTCCCAGGTCTTCGCAGGGAAAGCGCAGACCCCACCGCTGGACGTAAGAGGCCGCAAGGCTCCTGGTCTTCATCTTGTTTCAGATGAGGTTTGGGCCCGAGAGGGGCTGTGCTTGCCCAAGGCCACAGAGCTGGCTGCAGGCTCAGCCACGATCAGACTGTAGACCCCATTTCCACTGAGCTCCTTCTCAATGCAGAGCCCCGCTGGGACCTCCTCCAGCCGTCCCCACATTGAGGACCCCTCCCGACAGCCAGCCCAGCTCGGTGATGGTGAGCGTCTGCGTCCCTTATGGGGACCCTCGGGCCGGGGAAAGCATCTCTGGTCACTGCCGGTGAGAGGCACAAGCTGGGGCCTGGGGTCCAGGCATCAGGAGCTGCTGCAGGACCAAGACCCACAGGGAGGACTGTTTGGCTCTTGCCCACCCCCAGGCAGAGGCCTCCCTCGGAGCAGCAGGCCCACACGTGTGCGCACGCATGTGGGGATGTGTGTGTGTGTGTGTGTGTGTGTGTGTGTGTGTGTGTGTGAGCGTGAGCGTGCGCCGAGCCTCCCGGAGTGAGAGGAACACGCGGCAAGCTGTCAGCAAGTTCTGCCAACGCGGAAAGGGTAACCGCGCACACGGTGCCAACAGACAGACCTGAGCGGATTCATTTGGTTTGGTTTTCGTGGTTATTTTTTTTACAACTTTAAATACGGAATATAAATAAATTTTACATTTAAAAAATAAAAGGAAAGCCCCCAAAAATATAATCACCGACTTTACAAACTGAAGGAAGCAGATTGGGGGTGGGGGTGGGGGGGGAAGTGCAGTAGAAGATGGGAAGGGAGCGCAGAACCCACCCCTAGGGGCCTGGGGATCTTTTCCCTTCCCCTCCCCCAGCCCAGCCACCAGAGATGGAACTCAAAAGAGTCTAAGATGGGGGAGCGTGCCCCTCCCCCCCACTGGAGACTTTCCCTTGAGTTTTCACACCTGCCTGGGAGCCGGACTGCTTGAGCGAGGACGTGGGGAAATGGAGGCCAGGCGGACAACGTCCTACCTCCGGCCCTCCATGAGCTCACTCCTGTCTGGCCACTCCAAGCCAGGGGCCGGGTCAGGGCACAGCCAGTGCACACGGAGCCTTTGTGTCCATTAGGAAAAGACACGTGTCCTCCCCCTGCCCGAAGCTGTCATAATAAACACACAGATGGGCCGTGCCTGTGATGTGGACAGTGGTCCCGCCTGCGGTGCGCTGGGCAGTGCGGCCTGGGCAGGGCGCCCTACGCGGCCTTGCATGGCAGTGTGGGCTGGGATGTGACGGGAGCAGGCCCTTGGGTCACAGGAGCCTCCAGGAGGGGCGCCCCCTCGGTGGACCAGAGGGAGATGCAGGGTGGAGGTAGAGAGGTGAAATGGAGGAGGAAGCAAAGGGGGGCGCGGAGGAGGCAGTGGGTGTCCAGGTCCCCACCTGCACCCACCTCTGAGCAAACTTCATCTCTAACCCCTCGAAATGGCTCTAGGCTGCCTGCGCTCGGGCCGCACTTGCCCGGAGGAGTCCACATCTTCAAAGATGTCATATGTATAGAAGAAAGAAGGCCGCTGCGAGCACAGGTGACCAGGGAGGGCGACTGGGCCTGGGCTCTGTGGGAGGGGTTTCTCCAGTCTGTGCTCCCCGCCTGGTCTCAGCCACAGGAGCACGGGGCGCTCCAGCCGGCCTGGGGGTGTTCCCATCAGACTGCCCAGGGGCCAGGACCAGGCAGGCCGCCGCCGAGAGGTCCTGGGGCCGAAGGCAGGGTTCTCGGAGCCAGTCCACAGCTCGGGGTGGCCCGGCCAGGGGGCCCCTCCCCGCTCAGTCTCTCTTGTGCTCTTATCCCAGGTCCTTGGGGTCGGAGGGAGGAAGACCTCGATGGAGTCCAGATCCTTCATTTCCTTCTCAAGCTTCCGGGCAAGACGCTGGAGGCCGCTGAGGGGAGACCCGCTGGCAGAGGGGTGGCCGGACGGACGCGTGGAGGGGCGGGGGAAGCACCATTGGCCGTCCGAATCAGGCATCGAGACAGACGGACGAGGGGAACAATATTATCACTCCAAGGACCCCATGGGGGCGATACAGCAAATACCTTATTAAATAACCCTGTAAGCCAAGCAGAGGGACACGGGGCTCAGAGACATGCCCCGGGCACAGGCCCCCCTGCTGGGGGCAGGGAGCTGGGTCCACCGGTCCCTGGTCTCCAGCAGCGCTGGGGCTGGACAGCTGAGGATTAGGGGGCCATTCTCTGCGGACACGCTGGGACAGAGCTGGGCTGGGGTCTCCACGCCTCCCGCCCACCTGCCCCCTGGAAAAACTCCGTTGATAACTGGGCAGAGGGGACCCAAGCTTCGGGCCCACGTGGTGTATGGGAAAGCGCCCCTCCCTCACCCCTCCCACAGCCCAAGCCCAGGCCGCAGGGTCTGGGCCCCCATCTCCCCGCCTGCCCTCACCTGCCCGCGCTCTCCTGCAGACGCCCTAGGCTCCCAGGGTCTCCTTCAGCGCCTTCTTGTCATGCGTGTGCTTGAACTTCCTGTGCTTCCCCTTGGGTGGCCTGCGGACTCGCACCGTTCGAACGGTCACCCGAGTTTGGGGCGTCTTGGCTGCTTGAGAAAAAGAAGGTGTTGTCAGCAGGCTGACGGGCCCTGTGGGGTAGGGATGGGGGGTCCTTCCTACACCAAGGCCTGCCACAGACCTCCCCAGAGTCTCTGGGCTGAGGGAAGGGGCCAGACCTCCTGGGTTTGAATCCCAACTCCACTGCTCACCAGCTGTACGTGCCTTGGGAACAGTTACTGAACTGCTCCGTGCCTCAGTTTCCCCATCTGTGAAATGGGGGTAATAAGACTGCCCACCAGATTGGACTGGTGGCAGGAATAAATGACAGAATGCTGGCGAACACAGAGGGGAATAGATTGTAGCTTAAGTTCGTGGTCAGTACCCCACTGACATGCCTTTTATTTCCAGGCCCCTTGAACTTGGGTCTGTTAACCAATAAAAGGAGGCAGAGTGGCGCTGTGCCAATTCCAGGCGTGAGCCTTAAAAGGGCCTGGCAACTCCCACCTTTGCACCTTGGGGAGCCCTGTGCCGCCACACAAGACGTCTGGTTGCTCTGCTGTGGAGGCCACACAGGGAGGAGACGCCCTGGGTGACAGGGAGCGGGACAGAGGCCCAGCTGTCCCCGTGCAGCCTGCAGGTGACTGACTGCAACTACAAGAGATGCCAGCAGAACCGCCCTGCTGAGCCCCGACAGCCCACAGACCAGACAGAAGGAAACGGCTGTGGTCCTGGCCACAAAGTCCAGAGGAAGGCGTGATCAGCGACCATCTGGCCGACCGACCGGCAGCGGCTCTTATTCACTGTTGTCTTATTTCCTCTGCTTGACCCCCTATTGAGTTCTCCTCCCACCAACCCTGCGGCCCCTTGCAGTCCTGGGCTTTGGGCCAGAACCACACACAGAGCTGGGCCTTTCCCGCGGTTGCACCTGTCACCCGCCGGGCCCTGCCACCTGCAGAAGCAGCACAGCGGGCAGGCCAGAGCCGGCGCCGGGCCAGACCACCTGGGTCCCCATCTTTTGTGTTCTTTGGGGCAAATCATGTAAACTCCTTGTGCCTCAATTCCCACATCTTTACAACTGAGCCGCCAGCGCCCTGGCCTCCTGCGGTGAGGAGATAAGACACAGAAATAGCCAGAAACTCCGCGCTGGCACCTACCACGCACCTGGCAACGTTTGCCCTCACAGAGGGGGTACATGTCTACATTTAACAGATGAGGAAACTGAGGCGGGGGGCGGGGGCTGGGATGTAAGCCAGGGATCTGCCTCTCCAGTCCACACTGTCAAGCCCTCTGCTGGAAGTCGGGGCAGGGAAAACTCTCTGCCAAGCTCAAGGCCCGTCTCTTCCTGGACACTCCCGAGTTCTCCCCGGCCCGTCGGCTCTGGGGGGCCAACACCTGGCCTCCCGCGAGGCAGCTGCCCCAGCTCTGCACTGCAGGGACCCAGGGCCTCTGCACCAGGAGAGCCACTGAAGGGCTGGAGTTTCCCACCCAGAGACCAGGCCACCAGCAGGACGCTGGGCTGGCGGAGCCCGAGCCAGCTCAAGGTTGTCACACGGCTCAGAAGGGACAGAGCAGAGGTTGGAGCCCAGAGGTCTGACACTGACCACCACGTCACACGGCCGCACCACCCAGCCTGGGCCCAGCCCTGGACAGCTGCCAGGAGCACCATCCCACGGGGCCAACATACTACACCTGAAACGGCAAGGCCTTATCTACATGCTAACCGTGCGACGTGCCTCCCAAGGAAATGGTTTGGAAAACCACGTGTAACGAATGCATGTGAAAAAAAAACCCTATTCTAAACATAAAGAATAGAAATTTTCCTGGGTAGAAAAGTCATTCTCCACGTTAACTCTATAAATACTCTACAATACATCAGTTTGCAGCTGTCAAGTTATCAGCCTTCCCCGGGCATCCGGGCCTCAGCGTGGCTCTGGGAACAGAATGAAAAGGCTGAGACGGCCCTGCCTTCAAGAGGCTTGTTAATAAGAAATCACGGTGGCACCGTTCTGTCCCCTAACAATAGAAAGCTCCCGAAAAGCGCCCGGCCAGTGTGGCTCAGTGGTTGAGCACCACCCCATGCACCAAGAGGGCCCCAGTTCGATTCCCGGTCAGGGCACATGCCCAGGTTGCAGGATCGATTCCCAGTAGGGGGCGTACGGGAAGCAGCTGATCCATGTCTTGCTCTCACATCCATGTTTCTCTCTCTCTCCCTCTCCCTTTCTCTCTCTCAAATCAATATTAAAAATCTATTTTTTTTTAAAAAGAATGTTACTGGAAATCAAAACAGTAACTTGGGTGATTTTTTTTATGTTCTTCTAATTGCATTATCTTAATGATTCTCATTTGATCCTTTCTGCAAACTTTTTAAAAATTATTTTTATTGCTTTTTTTTTTGAGAGAGAGTGAGAGAGAAACATCGATGTAAGAGCAAAACATTGACCCACTGACTCCTGTACGGCCCTGGTAGGATCTAGGATCGAGCCTGCACCTGGGGCATGTGCCCTGACTGGAAATCGAACCGGCAACCCATCGGTGTATGGGACGACATCCAATCAACTGAGCCACACCAACTGCAAACTTTTGAGGGAGAAAAGGCAGCCGGATATAGTCTAAAGCACCCAGAACTAGATGTTACAAGACCTGGGACTAGCTGTGTGCCCTTGAGCAAGACCTCAGCTTCCCTGGGCCTCTGGCACCCCCTCTATACAATGTGGAGGAGGCCATTGAACCAGATCATTTTTTAGTCCTTTTCAACTCTTTAAGCCTAACGATGCCCCTGATTTGTGAAATCTAAAGATAGGAATGAGACTTTGGTTCAACCCTGTCTCTCACATCTCTGCTGCATGGCTGCCAGCCTCTGTTCGCACACCTCCAGTGACAGGAAACTCACTCCATCACAAGGAAAGTGATGCCAACCCGGACCCCTGACTAGTATATGAGTTAAAATCTCTGTCTGCTGGCCTTGCCCCTTGGCCCCAATTTCCCCCTCAAGGCCACAGGAATTAATGTGTTTTTTCATCCCCAGGATAAGGTGTCAAATATCTGAAGATGATATGCCTGAAGTCTTCTCTTCTCCAGGCCCTGGTTCCTCCCCATTCCATGCTCTCATTCAACAAAGGAGGGGGCTGTGGCATCAAATCAGCTGCCACGGGAGAGGGGGCTGCCGGGCTGAGCAATCAGAGGCACACCCTGGACCGACAGGTACCTCGCTGCTCCTGGGAGCTCCCTGTGGTGCGGCTCACGGGTCGTGCGGGAACCACTGTCACACACCGGCAGGCCAGGTGGTCCTCCAGCGTCACGGTGGCCTTGTTGAAGATCAGCCTCTTCTGCACCATCTCAATCTTCCTCACCTGGAGGACAGAATCACCCCAGCGCCTCCGTCAGACCAGCGGGAAGGGGCTGAGGGAGGCACCTGCCTGCTCTTCCCGCCCCGGCATCCCCTGTGGGGATCTTTCCTCGAAAGCCTGGAGAGCTGAGAGCTCAGGGCAGACACTGTGGCTCAAACAATAGCAGGACCTTGGCCTCTGCCCTTCTCGTAGCTTTTCCATCAAAACAAGCCCTCCCACCCTGGCCTTCGGCTTGGCCGGAGCCCCCTCGGGCTCCCAGAGAGGGGGAAAGGCATTTCCGGGCGGAGTGCGGGCCTGTGGTGTCCTCATTCCTGGAGCGCCAGCCAAGGTCAGGGGCTGTGGCAGAGGCGGGGAGATGGTTGTCTGGAAGGAAGTGGGGGGAGGCTTTATCCAGGAGGGAGGCGGGAAGGGGGAGGGCAGCTGCCAGGTGTCCATCTTTAGAGCTGAAGCGTTGGGGACAGGAGATAGCGTGACAGTGGGCGGCGTGGTGGAGAGTGACACGTCATCTCGGGCGCGGGGCCCAGGCCTGTGGTGGAAGGTGGGCGCGAGGAAGGGGAGGGGGCGAGGTGGGGCCAGCAGAGTGTTCGGTCCAGCCCGAGCTGGTGTGTGGGTGAGGCTGGCCGAGGGGTGCAGAAGCCCTCCCGCACGCACGAATCAGAGAGGCCGAGGCCCCTCTGACACTGCTCTGCCAGGCTGCGATCAGGAGCTCCCCGGGGCGGCCTCCACCCCAGAACGCCCCCTTGAGTCAGGGTGACCCAGTATTTCCAGAAAAGAGGCAGGTTCAGACTCCTGCTAAGGGCTGCCCCCACCCCCGCCTCGCCTCGGGCAGCGCCCTCTTTATTAAAGACACAGCTTGTCCTGGGGAGGTGAGTGGGCCTGGCAGACACAGGGGAGCCTTCCTCTCTGTGCAGGGCCAGGACAGGAGGGAGCTTTGGGGGACTCTGAGCAGCTGCCCAGCACATTCCGAGCGGTCAATGTGCTTGTAGAATGTCTCTTCCAGAGACACTTGGGGTTGTGTCCCTGCAAAGGACGAGGCAGCACCGCCACTGGACGCCCTACACCAGCCTGGGGTCTGCCTGTGGCTTTGGGTCACAGCAGCTGGGTGGCCACAGAGGACGCTGGGGCAGCCTCAGCACAAGAGTCCAGAGAGCTTCCTGCGAGTGCCCGCTCTGGACAGAGCCGACCCATTGGAAGCCTGGTCCGTGAGGCACAAGCCCCTGCAGGCAGCGGGCCAGCGGCTGGGCCAGTGCAGGGGTGGGAGTGGAGGGTGCTCACCTGGACATGGCGCAGCTGCACCTGGGTCGGACGGCACTGCACCTTGTGGTTGTTGCAGCAGCCGGAGCAGCGCTGCACCTCCACGCAGGGCGGCCACACCACGTAGTTGGCGTTGCTGCGGTCAATGAGGCTCCGGGAGATCTTGAACACCTCCGTGCGGATCTTGCACTCGGCAATCATGGCTGGCTCGGCGACCGTGGAGGAATCTGAAGGGAGAGGGGACCCCTGTCAGGAGGGAGGGCCGGCCCAGAGCCCCCGCCTGGCAGGAAAGCTCAGCGGGCACCCCTGGGCCTGCTCTCTTGCCACGTGGCCGCCCAGGCCCCTCTTCCTCCCGTGTCAGGAGAGGCTCTGAGTCCTGGCCGCCATCAGCCGTGGGGCTTGAGCTGGCGGCTCAGTTCCCCACGTGCAAACGGGGTGACCTATACTCATGAACCATTGTTAGGGTCACGTGAGAGCACTCATGTAGTAAAGGTCAGACTCCTTCCGCCAGCCCTCACTCAGTTCCCTCTGTGATTTCACACCCTGGGCGTTTGTCCGAATGTGGCCCTTACTTGTATGTTATCTTGTGATCACTTTGCTTTGCTGTTTTACACTGTAATCTTTCCTGACCTCATTGCTTCTTTCGCAGCCACAGTTTCCTCGTCTAGGAAATGGGAGAATGACAGCGCCTAGCCAGCACCTGCAGACCTAGGAGCTATACGAGTGACACCTGGCCGATGGCCAGCGGAGAGTCAGTGCTGGACCGGTCACTGTGCACATACAGAGACCCGAGGCTCGGAGAGCCGATGAGCGGCCCGCGCCCACAGAGCGAGGAGTGGGACCCGGCCACCGGCTCTTATATGGAGGTCCCCCGGCACCATCTACAGTACCGGGGGGACTGCAGGTGGGAAGAGAGGAGGAGGAGCTTGGGATGGGCACTTGCTTCACTGGGAAGGCTCCCATGGGACCTAGGGATCGACATGGCCCTTCGGGCTCTGCAATCGAGCGGGAAGCAGTTCCAGGCTTTGCTCCGGGCCTGCTGTCCCAGGCCACAGCCTCAGGCACAGCAGACACACAGCCAGGAGGGCAGGGGTTCAACCGGGAGGCACTGTTGGGATCCCAGCCCTACTGCTAGTCAGCTGTGTGGCCACGCCTACTTCTTTCCCTTTCTGGGCTCCAGTTTCCAACTCCATAAAACGGGGTTAATAATATCTAATTCTAGGGTTGAAGTAGTGAAAAATAAGCTTAAAAGCATTATATTTAGGGAGCAGTGTGTGCTGGGGGAGTACATGATGACCCAACTCAACGTAAGCTATTTAAGGGTGCTATTGTCCCTTAGCTCAACTCAGTCCGATGTGGGGGTGAACGGGGTTGACCCTCAAAGCCTTGAACAGGGGCCTCCTTCCCTGGCTCCCACCTTCGCGGGGGGGCCCCACGTTCACCCCGGGTCTTACCGAGGCTCCTTCTCCCTCGGGACAAGCTCTCGGGCTCGCCTCCGGAATGGGACCGGGTCAAATTCAGGTCCAACTCGGCTCCATCTTCATCTGCAAGAGCAGGACAGTCAGATGCACTCTGGTCACTGCTGGCTGGCCCGCCAGCAGGGTGGGGCTCCCCTTCTGGCCCCCGGTAAACCTGGGTCCTAGCTCTGAGGATCAACCCTCAGGTGACTCGGGGCTCAGGGCGGGGGGTGGGGGGCCCTGACGGTATCCTCTGGGGGGGCTTCAGCCCCACTCTGGGCTCCTCAGTCGCATTTCTGGACAGAACTCATGTGAATGGAGTTAAAAATAGCCCTTCCCTTCTGCTACTCTGAGCGAACCCTCCTCGGCCTCCCGGGCAGGGCAGAGACCCAGAGCTCCGAAGGCCACTTTCCAGTGCCCCTCCGCCCAGCGTTCCCATAGGAAGTGCTGAATGGAGAAATTCCCAGAATCCCCAGGGGGAACCGCATGCCCAGGACACAGCCCCTCTGGAGCCCCTGACAATGGCCCAGTTGGGCGGGAGAGAGGGAGGGAAGGAGAGGGATGGGGGTGGGGGCTGAAGGCAGAGGGGTGGGGTGCCGGGGCTGCTGGGATCGGGGAGCCTCACCCAGCCCCTTCTAGATCTTGCTCTCTCTCCACCTCCCAGTCTCTCATTGTGTTTCTGTCTTTCTCCCTCTGACCTTCTGCCCCATGTCTGCCCTACGCTGTCCATTCCTTCCTAAGGTCACCACCACACCGCAGCCCCCTTCTCTGGCCTGGGAAGCCCTCAGCTCAGCACCACCCCATCCCTCTCTCTGCTGCTGGAGATGAGGGCTGGGCAGGGGGACGGTGACTTGGTGCTGACGGTGGGCAAACTCCTCTAGCTCTCTCGTGGCTGAAAGCCGGCAAATACCCTGAGGTGTCGGGGACCAGCTCCCGCCCCTCCACACAGCACCTGAGGCTCACAGGGTCTCCCATCCCACTGGCCCTGCTCGGCCCTGTGGGCTTCCAGGGGGTCCCGTGTGGAGGGGGCGGCCCTAGAACGGGTGCGCCTCCCTCCAGCTACTGTCCCACGTCAGCCTGTGCGCCTCCCGCTCCCTTCCCCTCTCTCTGCATCTCTGGAATGTCCCTGGTGGGGAGGAGATGGGGAAAAGATGTGCTTTGTGGAAAGGTTGCGTTGATTAGGAAAAAATAGCCACATGGTTGCCTCAAAACAGGCCTGCTATTGAAAACCTCGTCTCCGGGGCCGACCCCCACCCGGGGTGTGGAGGGGCTGCCGAGGGTGGGGGCGAAGGCCCTTGGAAAGAAATAGCAGAAAGGCTAAATTTGGAAGTTGCCCCATTGTGTTGGCCAGGGCTGGCCAGCCGGGCATGGGGTGGGGGTGTGGGAGACGTCGGGTGGGGGGGGGCCTGGTGAACAATAGGTGGGCCCAGCTGGGGCCCCCTCCCGCCGGCCTCACCAGCCCCGGCCTCACCAGCCCCCAGCGCAGGAGGGTTTGAAAGGGCCCGGGAATGCTTTTGAGAGGGAGCCAGGGGCCCAACGGGGAGAGGAAACAAAGGCAGGAAATGCTGTCCCCCGTAGATAGCAGTCTGGGCAAGGATTACAAAGTGACAAAGAGACAAAACCCCAGAGGGAAGGGGAGCTGGGGGTGCAGGGCGGGTGATGACCAGGGCTCCAGGGAACAGGCCAGAGGTTAGAATAGAATGGAATTCGCCCTGAAGACAGCGTTTATAAATACATTCCCCACCCAGGCCGCCAGCCCCGCCACGTGTGTGCCACCGAGCACGTGCCCATTCGCTGAGTGTGCTCTTGGGCAGGGGCAGGGCAGCCCGCTGGTCTGGGCCAGGTGTCCCCGGGAGACCTTGCAGAGCTGGCCCCCGGCCAGAGGGACAGGGAGACCGCTCTTCCACCACCACCCGCCCTGGCTGAGTTCACACCTGGATACTCATTGGGCAGATGCCCTAGGCACCTTCTCCCCGCCCGCCCCCTCCGGGCGCCCCACCCTCCGCACCCAGCCAGAGACAGAGACACATGCGGGTGCTTCTCCTGCCTCGCCCCACATCCCAGGTACCAACCCGTCTACCTACTCAGCCCTGCCCCAGACAGGTGTGGCCCAGCCCTCCCCGGCCGCCACAGCCTCTGTTCCCCAGATGTCAAGGAAGGGACGGCCCTGGCCCTGCCCCTCCCGGCTCCCAGGGACGCAGGGGAGGCCCCGAGCAGCGGAGGAGGATTCCATTTACCTACGGAGTCTCCGTGCAGCAGCCGCTGGAGGTCATCGAAGGAGCGGATCGAGTGGTCACTCAGCATCTCGTAGAGCTCCTCAGGAATGGGGTCCCCCTGCCGGGCAGACACATAGGATCAAGTGAGCTGGGAGTGAGGGCTCTCCAGCCATGGCCCTCTTGCCCCCAGCACAGACACAACCTCCCATGGGAAGTTCCCACGGGGCCCCGCGGCCACGGACAGATGGACAGCCAGGCTGGGGTGGGCAGGAGGCGGATTCCAGGCCTGACAACCAGGAGCACGAAGTCCTGGGGGCCAGAACCTGCCAAAGCCTGGAAGACCCAGCTCAGATGCCTCATCCCCCCAAATAGGAGCCCCAGCTTGCTCTGAGCTCGGTTGGATTGGGCCCAACCTCCTCCATCACGCTATGGGTTCTGGAAGGCTCCACAATCTTTTTGCTTCTCCTCCACACCTGACAGTTAATGCCAGCCAGCATTTGTCTTGGAAGATCTCATTATCCCCATTTTTCAGATGAGAAAACAGAGGCTCAAAGACGCAACACCCTTTGTCTGAGTCCTGAGCCAGTTATCAGCAGAACCTGCCTTCCAACCCCAGTCTTCCTGACGGCAGAGCCTGTATCCCAGCCTCCTGGGCACACAAGGTGTTTAAGAAACGCTTGAAGAGTCAGACGGTCTCAGGAGGCCACCAGTACTAAGGTATTTATTTAGTCTCTCACGCAAAGAGGAGAGCAGGGAATCCTCCGAGGCGGCCGGGAAACCTGAACGCTTACCCGTGCCCCGTGCCCAACCAAGCCCTATTTTTAGAGCCCCTCTGGCCTCTTCCCAAAACACTTGAAACTGAATAAGCACTTTAACAGGCCCCACTCGGAGCCGGGCTTCCTCAGGGAAACCGCAGGTCCCACAATGACATGAGAGGAGCCCACGGCCCTCAGCCCAGGGCGCCCCAAGGGGCTGATGCCGAGGTCTTGAGAAAGAGGTGAGGGCAGCTGAGAGGCGGAGAAGCACCATCCTGGCACCCACCGCCTCCGGGCACAGAAAATGCTCGCGATGCTGCTGCACATCCGAACTCACACCCGTGTGCACACAGGCAGGTGCACACACAGACACAGGGCGGCACGGCCTCGCGGAAGGAGCCTGGGAGGGTGTCAGCTGACTCGGCAGATCTAATTATCCCCATTTTACAGATGAGAAAACAGAGGCTCAAAGACGCAACACCGTTTGTCTGAGTCCTGAGCCAGTTATCAGCGGACTTGGAGGTTCTCCCCAAAAGCTCCGGTGATCGATCGTTTCCAGCCTCTGCCCAAAGCTCAGCTCTAGACACTCCTCCTGGGGTCGGTCCTCCAGGGGTTCCCCCATGTCCAGCTGCGGACACCCAACTCGACTTCCTTGAAACCCCTGAGCTCCGTGTCTTCATTTGAATGTGGAGCTTTTCCTCTGGCTGGTGTCTAGGGCTGTCAGGAGGTTCCCGGGAGGCGGGGTGGGGGCGAGCAGTAAGTCTGGCTGAAAATTGGGGTCTTTCCTTCAGGGTGCGTGACTGTGCAGCCAGGGGGCCAGGGCTGCGTGTGTGAGACGAGGACAAGGTGGCTCCTCGGCCCTTCGGTTCCTCCCCCACGTCCCCTGGGCACTGCCCCCTCCAACCCCGGGCAGAGAGCACACCTTTGGGGTCTCCAACTGTGGGCACAGGACCCAATCCGAGAAGAGAAGGTGGGCGGCGGGTCTCCAGTTAAGACCAAGGCAGGTCACCTTCCGGAGGGTTCTGTCACCCCCCAGAACTGGTGGTCCAGGAGCTAAAGTCCACCCTTTACTGCTACCAACCACCAGGGACCTCAGGCTGGTCCCTGCCCTGCTCAGTACCCGGATCTCACCTGTGAATGGAGGGGGTTGAAGACATAGAATCTGATTCTAACTGTGCCCAGGGATAGCAGCAGAGACAGCAGAGCAAAGCCAAGGGGCCAGTGCAGCAATGACTCAATTAGCCCCAGAAGAAGGGCTTGAAGGCCCAGTACCAACTGGCACATAACACTCATGCCGAGACCTCCTTGCCCACTGGCGAGCTGGCTGCAGCCGCCAGCCGTGGCAGAGGAGGCAGACCCCCATCAGGCCCCGCAGATGCCCTGGACCCGCCCTACAATGCACAGGAGACGACATCTTATGGAAACAAACCCAGAACCCCTCCCAGGCTGCTTGGGGAAGAGCCCAGGATAGAGGCTGGGGAGAAGCACACAGTAGGTGCTCAAAAAATGCGGGTAAAATGCATGAAGGACTCTCCCCTTCTCCCTGGGACTCTCTCCTGTATGATTCTCCCACCTCCTCCACCAGGAGGACCACCTGGGATGGTCTCCCCACCCCCCGTGCCAACTGCCTCCTGTAGAGTCCACTTCATTCTAAGCAGAGGTCGTTCTGCTCCTGCTTCCACTAATTCGGCCAGTGGGTGCCCAGAACTCAATACGAGCCCCCACAGTCCGACCACGGCTCACTTTTACTAAGTGCTGACGGTGAGTCAGGCACCGGGCTACGTGGTGCAGGGCCAGTCCCAAGAGGCGGGTGCTATTTTTATCCATTCTTCCAGATGAGGAAGCTGAGCGTTAGGAAAAGTTAGTAAATGGCTACAGGTCAACAAGACCAGTAGGTAGCAGAGCTGGGCCCTCCCTCTTCCGGCCCCCAGGGAGCTCCTCAGCACTACTTTCGGTTCATGCCCCTCTTCCCCTGCGGGGGTCAGGGGGCAGAGCCTCTCACCTCAGGACAAGGGGCCCCCAGGGACACTGGCGTGTCCGCAGGCATTTGTGGTTGTCACAACTACTGGCCTCTAGAAGGTGGAGGCCCGGGAGGCTGCTAAACATCCTACTATGCACAGGACAGCCTCCCACAGGGAAGAGCTGTCTGGCCCAGAACGCCAACAGTGCAGAGGCGGAGAAACGGTAGCAGACGAAAGAGCAAAGGGAGCCTGGATTCTTGGAATAAGTCTTTTAACAACCTAAACGCTCAGGTTTCTAATCTTGTAAATGGGGCTAAGAATACTTCGCTAGGGTTACTGGGCGGCCTAGTTGCACCCAGCAGAGCAGCCAGCAAATAATGGGGGTGGGCGCCTCTGAGGGCAGCAGCGAGCAGCGCGCCCGCCCGGGGCCAGCAGCACAGGGCATTTCTGAGGATGACAATGGGTAGGTGGAGAGCGTGTGGCTTTGCACTATCCCCTGAGCTGGGCCACAGGAAATGACACCCTAGCCCCACAATGGCAGTGTGGGCTGGTGGGTTCCTTCCAGGGCGGGAGGTAGGTGAAAGGTGACAACATTCAGTCTGTGGTCAGCTCGGGGCACCTGCTGAGGCCAGAGGTTCCTCTTGATGTGGGAGGGTGAGCACAGGGTAGCGATTGGTTCTAGAAGCCTCCTTAGGTGGGCAGCTCGCCTCGGAGCCGGGAAAGGAGGCCAGGCACCCTGAGGAAGCTGCCCCAGATCTCAGGCCGGGGGCTCCTGGCAGGGTGAGGGCGTGGCAAGAAGGCAGCTGGGGCACAGCCAGCCACGGAGCCAAGGCAAACAGCCTGCTCCCCACCCCACCCCACCCCCAACGCCAGCTGCAGAAGGTAGGAAGGGCAGCAGCTAGCGTGAGGCTAGACGAATTACCTGCTCCCAACCAGGCTGGCAGATCAAAGGGGCTTGGACCCCACCCTCCACCTGGGCCCCAGCACACACACGCCGATACACTCTCCCCAGCCCTCCTGCCCTTCAGCTGAGAGAGACGCACAGGCCGAGCCCACGCATCCAGGGGCGTTGTCTGTGGCTGGCAGAGGGAGAGCCGAGCAGGGAGCAGGCCTCCGAGCGCCTGCCTGCCTGCCTGCCTGCCTGCCTGCCCGAGTCTCAGGCCTAATTTAGAGTCAATGCCAAAGCCAAGCCCTTTGAAGAAGCCTCCTCTGGGCAGACCACAGAAGCCATTAGAACCAGCCTTCCCACCTACCATTTCCCTCCCCTATGGCTCCCGGGACCCTCCCCCGGCCCCACCCCTCCTTAATGTGCATGCAGCCTCCCACTGGGCTCCCCACCGCTCCCTGCAGCAGCAGAAAGAGAGGAGCCAAGGCAGCAATCGAATCCCAGCAGGCCCCGCCTGCCCCCCACCCTCCCACAGCATTTACTGCCCACCACCCCACCTCTGTCCCAGCACAGGGCGGGGCCCAGGACTCTGCATTTGCAAGAGGTCTGGGAACTCCGCTCTTGAGGAACTCGGAGCTAATCCAATCTCCTCGCGTTTTTAGGTGGCGGGGACTGCGGCCCAGCTCAAGAAACACAGAGCCTTTGCAATCTGATTTTCCTGCTGTTTCTTCCCCTCTGTCCTGTCCAATCTCGGCAGCCCAAGTCCCAAGACATGGAAAAGAAAGGCGCGCTTGTCTCTCAAGATGGGAGGGGGGCAGGGAGTGGTGACTCGGATGAGGAAGCCTGGTGGAGGGCAGTGGCCGTGCTGGGCTGCCCGGGGTTAAGGACTCAGTGAGACGGTGCTTATAAGACACTCAGCAAGCACAGATCTGGTCCCTCTCCCCCTCCCGATTCGTGGTCTTTTCCACACATATTTACAGATTATCCGCCATAAGCCAGTCACAGGCCAGTAAGCAGGGGAGACAGTGGAGTTTATACTCGAGGGAGGAAAAACAGGTGATAAACAACTAAATAAGCCCGAAATGAAAAGAGCTGTCCATTTCAATGGGGGGTGAGGCCCAAGGCAAGCACTTCTCTACCACTCCTGCTGAACGGATCAATCTCTTTCACACACACACACCCCTAGGTCTTGCACCAGAGACTCTAAATTCTGTTTGATCCTAACCTTGCAGACACTTCTAGGGCTGGGAGATTCCAGCAGGTTGATCTCCCACCACCTAAGGCATTAGCAAACCAGATGGAAGCTGGGTAGTGAAGGGCAGGAGGGTGCTGAGGCCGGAGGCTTCACATGACAATGGGAGTCACCCTCCCCAGAAGCCAGCTCAGCTGATGGGGATGGGGCCTCACAGGCCTCAGCCCACCCCCTGCCAGACCCTGCCTCAGACTTCCCCACCTCCTGCCCAGCTGCTGAGGCCTCCGCCTGAGGCTCAGTCCATGCATGCTTGAGAAACAGCCA